CGTTCAAGGACTAATGTATTACTGTTACCTTGCCGTACTCTCCAAGCACTAGGCAGTTTTGCATTTTCGATTTCCCACGGTGGTCTGCTTTTTTATAAGGAAAGTAGCTTTTATTTATTTTCATTCGGTGTCTACTCGTGATACTTGTTCATTTACCAGTTACACTTTCACAATAAAAGAATATTAGCAAACATTCGTAGTAAAATATCCAACTTGTAAAACATACCATATACATTTTCAGAAATGTATACAAGTCCATTTGAAAGAATTGCTTTAGACATTTCGGTACCCTTTCCACATCCCGAAAAACTTAAATATACAAGGTGTCTTGAATAGTTTGTAATAACAAAGCTAATGTGTTGTGAAACAGCAAAAAAGTACTTACCGTTCAGCACATAGAAATTTCAGGTACAGCTTTGTCACTTGTAAATATTGTTCACAGTGACAGACGTAAATCTTTAAAAACGATCGGCATGCTCGCGAAGCCTTGTTAGCATTTCGAAGACACTAATCGTAAATTAAAATAATATATACAGCTTCGATATTGCTGTAAGAGTTGGTGAAAGAATTCGTCAGTCGATCGGAATGTCCCAACAATGTTTAATCCTGCTATTTTGCCGTAAACCAGGAGATGTTGCCGTTGAAGATAACATCACCAAACTTGACGATCCCGAGTTATCATATGAAGGAAAACCAGTGGAAAAGAAATCTGTGTCTAAAGCTAAAGAATGTCTGGAAGCGGGCCTACATCGGTGAAAAAAGAAACAATTATTTTGGATATTTTATGGAAAAGCTAAACAGAAATTGCTGCTTTGTATCTTTTCTGTTTTTTTACACATACTAAATCAAAAAAATTGTTTCTCTTTAATTTGCACATAACCACACAATTATCAAACCTGATAATTAAATTTATTGAATAATGAGCAGCGCTTTGCATCTGAAAATTAAAAAACAAGCTTCATAATTACTCGGGAAAAAGTAACATTCAGTCTGCGCCGGTGTTGGTGCGGTATTCAGCTATTTACGGATCTCGGTAACAGTTCTTTCTAAAAAACACAATCAACCATAGACGTAACAAATGATGCACCGTTCTTTTTGTTTACGCGGTGACTGTGAAGAATTTTTCAACGGGGAGCCTCATGTAGAGAGGATTAATTATTTCTAATGAGCGCAATTTGTTGTTGGTAGCTGTGAACTTTTCTTTTTCGCAATTGGGTGTTGCCGATTTAGATTGTAGTTCCTTGAGACACATTAGTTTAAAAACCGACACGGGACTACTTTCAAATACTGAGCCTAATGCCCGGTTACACCGCCTCTCTATCGCTTAGCCGTATATGTTAAGGTTCAAGACTCAAATTAGTTTCGTTTCCACTACCCCGATTTGCTAAAAACTTATCTGACAAGAAATTACATCTGACAACAGTGCATCTGAGGTAAACTTTTAGAGGAATTTCGTCTGTAACTACTGGCTCTTGGTTGACATGGCTGTATATCAAAATATGTCACATTTGTTAACTTTTATTTTAATAAGCAATCCCTATGTTAATTAATGTACTAAGTGACATATAAATCCGAACACCCAGTTTAAATGGTTTTATTGTAATAAAATTTTGTATAAGTACTTAATGAAGCATAATAAGTAAGTGATAAAAATTTCAAAATGATTGCACTGCTTTAAAGCCCTTTGACCTTTAATAATGTGTGGATGCACCCTGATGTGCTACGCATTCTCCAACGCGCCTAGGCATGCTTCTGATCAGGTGGTCAATGTCCTCCTGTGGTATCTCATTCCAGGCAACCACCAACTCCTCTCGAAGTGCTTCTAGAGTCTGAGGAGGACGTTGCAAATTGAGCTATTTCCTACCCATCATATCCCACACGTGCTCAATTGGGGATAAGTCGGGAGATCTTGGTGGCCATGGTAACAATGTGACATCATTATGTTGAAAGAAGTCTATTGTGACTCTTGCAACATGTGGTCGGGCATTATCTTGTTGGAAAGATGGATCTGCCAGGGTGTCAATATAGGGTAAAAGATGGGGTTCTAGAACTTCGTGGATATAACGCTGCGCGTTCTTGTTACCTCTGATGAAGATTAAAGGTGACCTGGAACCATAAGCTATAGCACCCCAAACCATAACTCCACCAGTGTGATGAACATGTCTTTCAACAAAAAACTGTGGATTCCTCCTTTCACCACGTCGCCTTCTAACCCTGGCACGACCATCGTGTATGCCTGAACAAAATCGAGACTCGTCACTAAAGACAGTACTGTTCCATTCCTGATCCCAGAGGGACCGTTGTCTGCACCACTCAAGGCGATTACGTCGGTGTTCTCGAGTTAAAGGGAGGACCCAGTGTGGCCGGTATGAAAACAAGCCAAAACTTCTCATTCGTCGGTAAACACTTCGCATGCCAATAGGTCTTCCGTGTTCTGCAAACCATTCATTTGCAATGGACCTGGTAGTGGAGAAACGGTCCCTTAAGGCCAATAATCTTAGGCGGCGATCTTCACGGTCTGTTGTTCTACGGCGGCGTCCAGTGCCCCTTGCTCTTTGCGTACGGCGTTCTCGAAGCCATGCCTGACAACACCTAACCACAGTGTCTACACTTCTTTGCACTCTAACTGCAATTGCCCGAAAAGAAAGTCCAGCTTCCTGAAGTCCCACTATACGGCCCCTATCAAACTCACTAAGTTGACGAAATCGTACAGTTCTCCGTACTCTAGGCATCGTAACCGATCGTAAAGGATGTCAAGAACCAAAATCCGCCAACGTTGATTCTTTACTGCGGCTGAAATATTCATTTTTAGAGCGTTACTGAATTAAAAAAAAGCAGTATAAAAACCGGAATGTCCAACTGATAAGGCTGAAAATTTTTTCACTTGTTATTTACAGTAACATAAATACATTCACCAACTTTTATTAAAATAAAACCATTTAAACTGGGTGTTCGGATTTATATGTCACTTAGTAGGTATACTATCGCCTTGTAGAATGCAATGATTCAGTCTTCCCCTCGTAGACCGCTGTATTTCAAATACTTCGGCATCACATCTTATGATTTTTCACTGAAGTTGTGAAAATTAATAACTCTAGCTAGCCCCATGAGGAATAATCTATAAAGTTGGAGTCCGGAAATCGAAGGAGCCATAAGTCATCAGGAACAACCGAACTGTAGTTGAAGTAACTACTGAAACTTATTCCGTTGTTTTCATATCATTCATCCATTGTTTGACCGAATCAAGGCACATATGTTTTAATTTCTGTTTTTGGTACGGCGTGTGTCGTCCTTTTTTCAGTATTTAAAAAGCACTAAAGAGAAATTAGAACATATACCTTTGGTTTGGCTCGTCCAGACATGGAGTCCTACGTACTGAAGTTGTTGTATCGTAGTCTTGCGCTCTAGCTAGAGGTATCCAGTTTTTCTGCGTAATTTTTGGGGATTGAGAGGTCTCAGATGTAATATTTGCTAATACAAACTGTTATTCCGCTAAAATTTTCGTCGGACTTCACATACGAGTATATTCGAAGCGAAGATGTTTTTGATGTTAGACTTGAATATAAATTATACAAAATAAAGAACTCACGGGATGATAGCATTTCTTTTGATAATTCGTAAGAGCTTTTTCATGCATTGTGCCAAAAACTTATCTTTTCAACATTTTCATGTGCAATAACCAGTAGCTTTCATATATACTTTTGTACATGGCAAAGCAGCAATGTTGAAGATTCGATTCCAAATGACTTAAGCCTCCAACTGTTCTGTCATATCTTGTATGTTGGCTTAAAAAATCTTGCAGATCAACCTGCTTGTGGCATCATCACTTACCACTACTGGAGGGGCAGAACACCTCCGCCTATGATGTAACGTTAGATCTAGGCGCTTAACCTAAAACAAAACAAAAAACGTCGACCACTCGTGAAAATAAAAGAGCATCGGGCTTCCTGCATGGTACTCACATTAATTAATAAAGACCGCGTCTTTTAACGTTACTAATAATTCACTTCTTCCTTCACAGCCGCTGTTATTTTGAGTTTGCGTTTAGTCCCTAACTATAATTTTGTGTAATAAAGTACAAAAAATCGTTTTTATCACTATTCACATATACTGTTTTCTAATACATACACACAATAGTGTATGACTATATGTATTTTTATACAGGCTGATTCAGAAAAACGGTGCAGTATTTCTAGAGTATAAAGTACATGCAAAAATAACAGAAACGTTTCTGTAAAGAAACCAGTAGTTCATAAAATGTCATGTTTCCAAGATACAGGGTGTTGTGAATTACTACGTCACCGATGAGACTAAATAAGGACAAAACATGAACAGCGTTCAAATAAGACACATATAATTTTTTTAGTGTCGATCTTCACTAATCATTTCAGTGTATTTAGTAAAAACGGGTTGAAGCTGGTCATACAAATTTTATCTCATTTATTCAAAGATGTTCTTCAAAATTATTTAAAAATGCAATATAATAGTTATTTCCCTTTTTCTTTTGTAGAGGTCGAATTACCCGATTTCTTCACCACTGGTTTAGACTCAGGCACAAACATTTTCGTACGTCTTGGGTATGCTGTCGGTACTCCATGTACAAGAAGTCAATCAATGTAGTACCTACAAAAATGACTATTGATACATAGTACATATATGTATATAGTCGAAATCACGAAAGATGACGATTACGTCATCATTTTATTCTGTAGTAAAGACAAACGACAGAAATTTGTGAATATTTTTAAATGAAGGTTCAGATGTTTTAGACAGAGACAAACAAAATTTTATTGTCTAAACAAGTAGTATTGCTGAATTGCATGTATCCGATAAAGACAGGCGATTTTTGCATGTTTCATGATCGATCACATTTGAAAGATGACAAGTGAGGTTATGTCATGTCAGCGTGTTGACAGTTCGTTGCAGGTTAGGTTGTTTTCGAACAATACTTTGGTCGTTGGTGTTCCTGTCTTGAGGTGTATTCTGTTGTGTGTATAACTGTTTTTTTCAAAACAAAAACTCCTCATAAAAATTATTATTAAGGTAGAAACTAAATAATTTCCAACATAAGAGCATCATTTAAGACTTTAATTCTAGTTTTCGCTATGAAAGGCAAAACTCTTAGCTCTCAATCACAGGGCTTGGTACTATCCTTGCTGAATTATTTTCAACAAGAAAAGGATAATGGAGGGCCTCTATTACCATTGTTAGCTGTCCAAGAGGTTTGTAATAGTTAGAAATATGGTCATATGATTGACAATTTATTCTATATTATTTTTCAGAGGGTGGCTCAGGCACTAAGTATCAGTTTGTCCACTATTACCAGAATACAGCGCCGTTTATCATCTAATGATAATGTCCTAAGATCACCTGGAAAGAAGAGACCCAGAAAAAAGTCTAAGACAACAGATTTATCTGATGCAGTCAGGCATAATATACGAGATACAGTGTATCAAATGTATAGTGAAAGTAATGATAATGAGCGTGAGATGGTACATTCCAAATTATTGTTTTTTTGTTTTGTTTCAGAGAAACATGTCACAATAGCAAATTTGAATAAAACGCTTAAAGAGAAAGAGCTTGCTTCTATCAGCAATAGCTCTTTACAAAGAGTGCTGCCCACCATAGGCTTTAAATATAAAAAAGATGGTAATAGAAGATTTCTAGTTGAGCAATCCAGTATTGCTTTACTTCGCACCAAATTTTTGAGAAGTTATAATGACTATGTGAACACTTCCTCGCATCAAATTGTTTTCATGGATGAAACATGGATATTTTCAAGGAAAGCGATTTATTGTTGTCCATGCAGGGAGCGAAAAAGGATTTGTTGATGGAGCAAGTCTGTTATTTTCCTCACAGTCTAAATCCGCAGATTACCATGGTGATATGAACGGCGAGACATTCATTAAGTGGTTAAAAGAAAAACTCCTCTGCAACTTGGAAGAGCCATCAGTGATAATTATGGATAATGCATCCTATCATAGCATTTAATTGGAGAAGACTCCAAACACAAGTTTTCCAAAAAAAGAGATTATTGACTGGCTGGTTAAAAATGAAATTGTGTTCCAACCAACATTAACTAAAGTGGAGTTATTGAATATAGTGAAAAGAAATCGTAAGGAAAAGAAGTATTTAATAGATGAAATCATAAGAAGTTATGGACATGAAGTTCTTCGTACCCCCCATACCAGTGTGAATTTAATGCCATCGAGTTAATATGGGCCAATGCTAAGCAGTATTATGATAGACATATTGGAAGATGTGGTCATAGTGATGAAAATGTTTTAGCTATGTGGAATGAAGCTCTGTCACAAATTACACCAGAGGTTTGGAAAAAATGTGTGAAGCATACCCATGATGTAATTTTAGAGTGGTACAACAAAACTATTACTCTTGAAATAGAACCACTGATAATCTCATTTGATTCAGATAGCGATACTGAATCTGACAGTAGCGATTAATTTTTAATCTGAATTTGACCATAAGTAATGGAATAACATTGAAATGTACAGTTTATTTTATTTGATATATGTTTTATATAATTATGTAGCTTATGCTAAAATGAATAGTGGATGGCATGACATGAAATAGTACAAAAATATTTTCACTTTGGTATGCTTATTTGTGTTTGTGTTTTTTTTATAAAATAAAACCATGTTCTCAGAATCAATTGGTCGTTTTAATGGAGCTGATACCAATGTATTATTATGATTTTGGTAAGAACTCTACGGACTCAACAATATTAGATGAAAAATAGGTTCAAAATACGTACTATTATTGTGAACAGAGGAAATGCTGTTTTTTTTAATAAATATGTAATTTTATTGCAAATAGAAGTCTTAAAATGTAAATTTGTGCACGGATAATGATAATTTAAAATCATGAAATAGAATAAATAAAAATAATCACTGAAATCAGCTAACTTCGATCACATGTTCCTGACATCGTAACCTTATCATCGACGTACGTCCGGTAATTATTTCGTTACAATTTATGGTATGACGTAATCGTCATCTTTCGTGATTTCGACTATATACGCCAAATTTCATTAAGATATTGAAAGTGGTATTTCAGATATTAATAATTAGACATTTATTCATGACAACTGTATGCTCTTTTATCTCAAAAGTTTAGACGTTTAGGACATACGTTCAGATGAAGTTTTCTTCTTGAAATGGATCCAAAAGTCGCCTCCTGAAATATCGACATGAATTGGGAAACATTCAGTAGATAATGCTTCTGTTTATAACTCAATTTGCAAATAAAGCAATGTGGATTTGCTTGACGTCTTACTCAAAATGTCGTAGAGTTATTTGTGTCTCATGAATCAATCTATCCAAATGCATTGAATTTTCGTCTTTTTTACCTAAGACTGTATACAATGCATATTTTTAATGATTGGTGATACAAAATAACTGGCTTAGATACACTTGCTAAAAAATAGGCAACGTACGACTTTATCCTGTTGCTTTTATTTGTATAAGTCACTCATTATTGATTGCACAATGCTTCTAGTACTGACGTATTTAGATGATTTTCCCAATACTATTTAACATTCCGTCATATAATCAGATATCACTTGTTTGCACTATACTTACGTATTCAGGTTACTCAAAATATTGGGTGTGTAGACAACTCATTCAGTATTTGTATAGCTGGGAATACCGTAAGCTATTCACCTAACAAACCATTTTTCGGGCGTAATTTATCACGACAGACATGCTCATTATGCGCTCTTTAAAGAATTATACTTATATGCTATTGCGAATGCTTACCAAAAATTATCTAATCAAAAATAGTTCAAACACCTCTGACTGTCTGAGATATTTTTGGAGACGCTTCCATATTCTCGGACTAGACAATCCAATGTATGCAGTTCAAGGTGGGTTTATTTTTAATATTCACGGATTTTCGGAAACGTGTATTTCGCTTCAATGAAAAAATTTTGCTTAAATATAAATGGATTTTTTTTAAGTAAATATGGCTCTTGCGGCGAAATGCCTAAGTGATTCCTCGTTTGAGACCTACTTTTTGTAAGGACGCCTTATTTGTCCTGACACATGGGACACACATCCGTGGCTGTGGCTTTCTTATTGTCTTATTAAGTTTCCTAAGGAACTCATTATCATACTCATTTCACTTTTATAGAAAGCACATTCCATACAGACAAATTAAATTGATTAATAACCAAAGGCAATGACGCAGCTTTTGATAGCTTACAATGTTTCTGTCGCTGTGAAGTGTCAATGCAATAACTATGTATCAAGGAATGCCTATACTGAGTATTTTTAATTTGAAATATTTAAGGAGGCGATCCTTGGGTTGATTTTAATGAAGAGACTTCATAGGAACGTATGCTCCAGATATTTAAAATTTTGAGATACTGGGTGAGAAGATAAGTAGCTGCACTTGGAGCTTTCAGCTCTTGGTTTTTTTCTATCGACAAACTGGTTTCGTCTAAAAATATAGGTATGGCTATAATGTGTGTATTAATACAGATGACAACATAATATCAATATTATGTTTCTGTTTTTTACGCGACAACCGTAAGTCGGACAAGATAAAGTGAGAATTATAAGAATGTTATTTGATCCCAGAAAGGGCAGTGGCAAACCATATTTTTCTATAAAGCTATTTAACTCAAGCCTCACACAAACGCCATTGGAACAAAAGAATGTACATCAGAAAATGCCTCTTAGCCGTGTAGCAAATTTAATAAAAATTCCTAGAGTGGTATCATAGAGACGGTTTTAGAGAACATATTGCGATCATAAAAAATTACATTATAATTGATGTGCTTGATTTTACTTTATGTGCATTGCAGTAGCACTGCAGAAAGCTCTTAGAAACCCCTCGCCATCACCGTAAACATGTTTTTAAGATATAATTTACGCTAGTCTATTGATCAATATTGACTCTCTTCATTCACTACAGTGCAATAAATATTTTCTTGAATACATAAATGTCTAATAATTCCATGACATTTCAATCATATATTTTATTACAACTATGAGGTGCAATTAGTCTAACGGTTTGTCCGTGTTGTTATCTGCTTTATGATTAGTACTTACCGTCCATCTTTGAACAAATTACAATACAACTAGATGCTTCATATTGAAAATATACATAAATATACAGGATGGAGCATCGAAAACGAAACAGACGCATTTACTGGCAGCTCAGTTTTTTTTTTGAAAAACGCTCAGACCCGTCGATTTTGTTTTCGAGGGGGACACAAGTTTGGTAAAAAATCACGTTAGCACGTGCCGCCCCTAAGCGTGGGTGACACCACCCCCAAAATCTTAAATGGAAAGGGGGGTCGAGTGATACCTTATTCTGAAGGTTTATAATGATATAAAATTAATGTACTTGAGTTCAGTAGTTTTGAAGATTTATTGATTTAAAGCTTTAATAAAACTAATACATCATCTTTAGTGGAGATCAATACATTTGGCAGCAAAGTAATTTAAAAATGAAGAATGAACTGACCCGTTAGGCAAGTAAATGTTGAAAATGTCCACCATGACTCTCCATGCAACAATAAAGATTTTGCTCAAAACGTTGCCGCACATTTTGCAATATTTGAGGAGTAATTTGAAGACACTCATTCACAATTCTTTGTCGCAGCTCTTCTAATGATGTTGGCTGAGTAGCATAGATTTTGCTTTTTAAATGACCCCACATAAAGAAATCCAAAGGTGATAAACCTGGCGATCTGGGGGGCCATTCATTGGCACCTCTTCTACCAATCCATCGATCTGGAAACGTCTGATCTAAATATTGTCGAACATGTAATGCGCAATGTGGCGGGGCACCATCCTGTTGGAACATCAACCTATTCGCAATGTACCGTCGATCAACCTGATTTTCAATTATGACTGTTAATGCAGGATCTATGGCGTCTTCCAGTAATTCCAAATACATTTCACCGGTCAAATTTCCAGGTAAGAAAAAAGGACCAACTAAATGATCGCCAAAAATACCAGCCCAAACGTTTAATTTTTGTGGCTGCTGTGTATGAACCTCATGATAAATTCTGGGATTAGAATCGGACCAATATCGGGAGTTATGAAGATTTACTACGCCATTTAAGAAAAAGGAGCATTCGTCGGAAAAGCAAGTTTTGAATAGAAAATGTTCATCGTTTATAATTCGTTCACTCATATCTTCACAAAATTGTAATCACCGATCAAAATCGTCTTCATTAAGTTCTTGTACCAGGTGAATTTTATACGGATATGAAAACTATGGGCCTTTAGAATCCGTTGGACAGTACGTCGACTAACACCACACACAGTCTCCAATTTGCGGGTACTCAACGTAGGATCTACATAAATTTGCCCTAAAACCCCCACTTCTATTGCTTCGTTCCTTATGAGATTTTCAATGTTGCGTTTTTTATTGGCGACTGACCCAGAAATTTAGCTACAAGTTCTAGAACATATTTTCGATGCACGTTACTGTTCTCATGTCGCTCATTAAATATTTCTGCTGTTCTGTTAGCGCACTGATTATTTCCGAAAAATATTTCGATAATTTCAACTCTTTCTGCTGTGGTTAATTTATGTAATAAAGCGTTACAAGTTATTTTAGCAACAAAGTTTGGTCAAATCAATCGCAAACTATGTACTAAATTCCTATTTAAAATAAGTACGAGATATTTCCTTATCTTTCTTCAAGAAATAACTTTTTTGCCACTAAAAAAGGCTCCAATAGTTATTTTCAACAACAAAATGATAAACAAACTATGAGCGTAGTGAAGAAAAGCATTTATTTATTAAGTAAATTCGTTTAGTCAAATTTCTTCTGAAAGTAGTACAAACTAATCTGA